CAAGTCAACTTTTAGAGTCACAATAAGAAGTAAAAATATTAAAATTTCATAAAATCTCGAAAAAATAAAATTGTAAAGTCTGCAAAATGCCTACCAGTTTCTATTATCATTTCTTCATCTTCGGGGGCAGATGTATCCGTTTCATTTCCACAAAAAGTCAAATCACCCGTGCTAACAATAATCAGAGTTTCGGGTGCTCTATCAAAAGTGGTCATTTCGATATGTCCAGAACACAGTACGCTGCGGATGTCTCCCAATCGCATTGCTCCATTTTCTGAAAATAATTAATTTTAAGTTTAAAACTTGAGAAGTCGAAAAAAAACAAACAAAGTTTGGATTGACAGGAGGCTAATCACTAGATGAGGCAGCACTGATAGCACCGAGGAAGCACCGGAGCACTGGGCCAGTGGACGAGACCTCCAAGGCCCCTTGCCCAATGCATCTATCATCAACTTTTTTACAAATATAGCACAAAACTGAGGAGGCCGTCCAGTTTTGGTACCCACGCGCGATGAAACAAACACTGGGGAGGCCGCCAGCACGATGGTGAGATCCAATCGTGCGCCTTTATGGTGTCACCTGGTCTCGTCAGGCTCAGGGTCGATCGAAATGGAGAAGTTGCCAGCTGCATCGATGGCGTGACATCAGAGATCGATGAAACAACAGCTGTTCAAGGTATTCAAGGTAAGGTATAGCACAAAAAATAAGTGAAATTAAGAAGCTACTTGAAAAGCCACTGTACATTAGATGGCAAAATGGCTGTGTGTAACTAAAAACTGACCGTTAATAATGGACAACCAAACTGCTTTGTTCATGAAATTCGGTCCACTGCTTGATGCTCTTTCTCCGGGCACAACAGACCGCAGTAAAACATCGTAATTATTCGCAACACATCGGCTTTCAACAATAACGAATGAGCTTACCACCCCGCATATGCTGAGGGGCTCAATGCTCAAACATTCCTGAAAAAGTATGGAAAAGTTGAAAGTTTCAGGAAAAAACAAGGGAAAATTGAAACTTTCAGGAGCAACTTAATGGGCGGGGCAAAAAAAAGGAACCCCCGCCAAATAAGCTGAAAAATTCGATGGCTAAAATATGCTGCTTGTCTTGCTGAGGCCAATGAGCATGACATTTTAGTAAGTGATAATCGCAAGAAAGAACAAGATGCATCAGACACACACACACACACACCACACACCCCACACACACATATACATATATACACAAACACACACACACAGACAACCCCGTGACAAAATGCGCTTTGTACAGCTGTTGCACAGCATAAAACGCATAAAAACTATCACTTTAGCAATCTTCGAGATGGTACACATACATCGAACAGGCAGTGAGTATTAATCGGAGGTATCAGATTCGGGCTAAAGCGCCCGAAACAGCTCAACCCGGAGTATAGGAGCAATTTAACAACTTCACTAACATGGAATATTCACACTCACTGCACAGACGATCTTCGTATTCTCACGACAGCATAGAAGGAAGGAACGAAATAAGAGAAAATGAGTGACAAAATTAATGCTCTTGAAAAAAGGCCATAATATTATTTACAAATTCTCGAAATCCCACAAGTTCTGCTGTGCACTTGCAATAGCTCTAAGCTGCCACCGCACAATTAGTTGACACAACAAAACTATCCCCATTTCATTTCTAATCACATCATTACATATTATGCAGGAGGAAACTCGAGTCAGGAGACGAGACATTTGCATATCAAATGGAATCGAAGGGCAACTGGGCAAGGTGAAACGGTTTAGCCACCAGCTTCGTTTCCTTGCTGCTAACTCCTTCTTTCTTTTGCAACACAACAACATTTTACGGTCAAATGTACTCAAATGCAAATTCAAATCCCAAAGGTTCTAGATCGATAGCACGCTTCAAGAACCATTCCCACAGACCTGTTAATAATTTTAAGAGATGAAAAAAATCAAAAAAAAAAAAAAAAAAAAAA